GTTTCCACCTGTTGAAACTAGAGGCTGCACGGAACTCAGGCTACAATACAACCATTTTGTTCTGCTCTAACGATTCAATTTATAGATTCTACATCAAAATAGTTCGGTTTTATTGTTTCCAATGATAACGTCACCTTAAGTGGAGGAATGCAAACCTGTTTTAAAATGTAAGGTTTTGAATTTCTTTGACATTTCTCAGTAATGACACCCTCAGACGCCCACTATCATTTATGCCAGTGGTTCCCAAACTTTTTTTGTGCCCAAGGCACACCAAAGGACAAGTAAAAAATCTCAAGGCACACCTATTGTGAAAAAATAGCCCTTATAACACGTGTTATCACTCATATCATGTAAAGTATCTGTAAATGTGCATAATTATTTACTAATGCCAAATAAAATGTGACAAAGACAACTATATTACGAAATATTTCGGAAATTAATTTGAAACTTTATCAAATTAGGCTTCATCAAAGCAACAACACACTCATTTACACCAGACAGGTCACAACATAGAAAATGAGGCAAAGGAAACTCAGCAGAAATTCAGCACAGACAACTGTCAATGCAAGGAAGCTGAATTGTCCATGGTCCTGAACTACAAATTACAAATTATAAATGTATTACTAAAAAAAAAGTAATATATTACACTACTTCGTTATTATCTACATAAATTAACTCGTTACTTTATTCGTTACTTTACTCGCCGAGCACGTACAAACTGCGCATGCGTGAGTGGCAATAACTTTCCTTACCAGCAGGCGGCGGTAGTCAAGCCCCCAGGAAGTGCGCCAGACTCAGATGAAAATATTCGTGCTGGCCAAACGGCGCTACTACACTTCCGTTTGGTTGCCAGGCCCGGAAACACTTTTCCCATTGACTTACATGGGGAAAGAGTGGTCTGTAACTCGTTGGATAATTTTTTTAAACCACCCAGTATGAACACTTGTATAGCCCTTATTAAAAACATCCGTTCCTCAAGTTGTAAAAAAAAAATTGCTAATAACGTTATTCTGAGAGTTATTTCCCTCTGCATTATGAACGCGCATCTAACCCACGGGACCGCGCAGCCCGGCACGTTCATGTTACGTGTCCCGACCAATCAGAGCACACTGTGCTCACAGGGAGGGTGGGGCTGGAGCTATTGGAGCTACAACGAGCCGTTAAAGGCAGAGAGTGAAATTCAGTGAATACACGTAGTTTACAGAGATGCTGTATGAGGAACCAATGTGAGTTGCGTTTATCTTTACCCATGGATGCACAATGGGAACGGATCCATATCGTCTTACTGCCATCCCACGGAGCTGTAATAATGGATATATTGCACATGTTTGCTGTAATTCATTATCATACTACATGGGCTGTATGATTAAATCTTGTACCGTAAATGTTGTATTAAATAGAGTTAATATTACCGATATCACTAGATCATTACTAGCTAGCCGCTAGCTGCTAACTGCCGCCTCGTTCATATCAAATCCATGATAACAACAACCCATTACCATGCTGTCATGAACGCGCGGTGCTGTTACGTGTACGCAAATTGACGTGCTTGATGTGAACGAGCATTTTGGTTAAAGTTGCGCATGCTCTATGAGTGCACATACGGGTACTTCTCAGGCATGCTGGGTAATCTGTGACGTTTCACTCTCTCAAAAGTTGGGCCATTTTATCATCATGCGCTAATGAGCAGCTCTCATAGGAATGAATGAGGCCCCGCCTCCCACGCTGTATCTAGTTCTTATTGTACATCCATGGCGGTAGTGTGTATTTGTCATTCAAAACAGGCAACAACCAGAAGACAGAGAAGAAGAACAGACTGCGTGATATAAACAAACAACTAATAGCTGTGCGTTAGCTTCACCTTAGCATGTGTTCTTTGCAGGTGTTTGTTGAGGTTTGACCACGTGGTGTTTACAGCAGTGGATAACAGCTTCTGGGCTGGACACAGTTTGCACCTCACCGTCACATTCCTGTCTATTCTTTGGACGAACTCAAAATAATGGGCATACCTCCACCCCTCGAGAGTTATCGCTGACTCAGCCATGTTTATGCAGCACTGTACGTGGAGATGTGGATGCGCAAGTCGCGCAGGTTACGTACATATAAACCTACAAAGCACTGATATAGTAAATTAAAAAAATAATTATTTTTGTGTAGTTGTATATTGCAATAATAACGTATGGTTGTCACAAAATCCCATGGCACACCCGGACTTGCCTCACGGCACACCGGTAACCACTGATTTATGCCATGCTTTGAGTGGTAACTCAGATGCTTACATGGACTTGTGTGTTTTTACTTCATATCTAACAGAAGTAAGAGAGAAAGAGATGCGGAAGTGAGTAAAGAAAGAGATGAAGAAGAGAGAGGGATGAGAAAGAGATGGGGAAGTGAGTATGAGAGGGAGATGTGGAAGAGAGGGATAGGAAGGAGGAGAGATATTTGCGAGTTGCATACTGACTCTGAGTTTTCTCGATTAATAGCTTATATAGACAATACCATGCTTAAATAGACTCCTAAGTTATTATTTCATATGTGACAATATGTAAGAAAAGAGAGGGAAGAGTCAAATTATATTGAGAAATTGAGCAATTGATTTCATATTGGAACATTCATTTCTCAAACCTATGTTTTATGGAAGAGGAAATGTACTTCTGATAAACTAATTCTTGATCAAACGGTAAATGGTGAATTAATATAACATTTAGAATCATTGAGAAAGGGTTATTCCACAGGGACTAGCTCACATTTAACTTAAAATAACATGTCTCTGCTTTGGACTGATGAGTATATGATTCTTGCATGTTAAATGACTAACACAAACCTTACATTTATAATGTGCATGTGTTAGGAAGGCTCCCAAATCATTCTGAGGGGGCCTATCCTATTTTTGTAATTGAATGATAATGTGCTAATCCATTACTTTGAGTTGTCTGCACTCAGGAAAACATCCCTATCAAGTGTTAACCCAATAACTAGGACAGCTCTGAAGGCCAAGGGTCAGAGAGAGAGGATCACACTCTCCGGCTGCAGAGAGCAACTTATCCACGGGCAAGGAGGTCGTTCGAGATGAGAGGATTCTAATCTTCAACTTTCTGATGAGATGGGTGCTTCTTCATCTTTCTGCTCGGTGGGCTCAGGCAGACAACTCTGCAGGACGAGCGATGGCTTCAGAGGCTTCATACAAGGTTCCATGTTTCTTGGAGGAGCAGATGTTTTCATAACCTCTCCCATCACGGGGGGGGGGCATCTGGATGTGCCACTTGGAATAGGCAGGTGCTCTGCTCTCAAGCAGATAGCAGAAGGAATACAGGCAGATGAGCCTCTGTTTCACTGGGAGATCATAAAGTGCTCACTGAATTGAGCCACAAAAGCAGAGCAATTGGGGGGGATTGAGATATGGCGCTCTGATGAAGAAGAGTTTTGAGCCAATCAGCACCTCAGTGCTAATCTACAGATAATTGAGTTATGGCGCTCTGATGAAGAAGAGTTTTGAGCCAATCAGCACCTCAGTGCTAATCTACAGTATCAGGATGCCTTTACACACCAGACATTCTGTGTCATAAAGAGAGGAGGAAAACATGTTCTTCTAGCTTTGATACAAAGATAACATTTGAATTGAATGACCAGATGATTACAGATGTACAATTAATGATTGTTTTTGTATTCCCAATGAACAGATATGTGTTAAATAGTGGTGATAAATATATTTTGTCAGATCAGATTACACTTTCACACTAAACAAATTAATTAATTGATATTTTCAGATTTATAAGGTATTGAACAATAAGATATTTCTAATATTGATTACAGTTGATACGCTGAATAAAGAACAGATGTTTTGATATTGATTACAGTTGACACTCTGAATAAAGAACAGATGTTTTGATTTTTTCCTTTTCAGGTTGTTAAACATTTTGAGAATTGTTTAGTTTTCCCTTCAGATTTTTAAATGACATAATGATTGATAGTTGAAGTAATGTAATTAATTAAATATCATGCCTTACTCTTGAATAAAGCGTAATGAAGTAAACGTAAAGTAATGTTAAAGATTGAGGACACTGTAACTTTACAGTTTACAGATTGATCGATTCATCACTGTGAATTTATACCTTAAACTAGGAACCTTAGCTGGATCTCTCATGATTATGATTTATACCTCAATTGGATTTCTCATAATCCTAAATTATACCTCAATTGATTTCTTAAAATCCTAAATTCTAATTGTGTTTTTAATAAGTAATTGCCTTAAAGTAAATCTTTAAGATGTAAGCTGATTTAGAATTTGTGTTTGATGAATGAGATTAACTGAGTGATACATGATAAAAGATCTTATTTTTGAAACATATATTTTGCTATAATATTTTGTATCCCATGTGTTTATTATTGTGCCTTTTGACAAAAGATACCAAGCACTGAAGAGAGATGATTTTTATTATGATTGACTGTGTTCAATCATGGTGATTGAAGTGTTTTCAATCTTGTTCTATTTTTAATGTAATGAATGTATCTGAGCCCACCCAACTCTGAAGACGCTTATTGATTTTAAGTATTGACTGAAATATTCTTAGACTAATGTTAATTGGTTATCAATAGATTGATAAAAAGAGTGAATCTGTAAGAGAATATTTTAATCTGATCTGTTTATAGAGTTTCCTATAGTTTCTTAGATTCTGTGATACTGCAAACATGTGTTTGACTTATCAGTCAAAGACTCCTCTGTAAGTTGAGGTCACAGGTCAAACGCTTCTCCTATATCCGTGGGGGAGGGTTGAGGCTTGTCTGCATCTCTTTGAGACAAGTAGACTATTGTCTCCCATCTGCTATTAATTAGGTAAACGCGGGTTTCTGTTAGCCCGCCTCTCCTCATGTTGATGCGTGTTGGGTCTATTCTGGGGCAGAGATCATGATGGTGGAGCACGGGACAGTGTGAAACTAAGTAATCTCCCCGGCCGTATTAATGTACTGTGATCAATAAAACTCTCAGTGCTTTGGCTAAACGACGTTCCAGACTCCTTCATTCTACCTCAACATTGCAACAACAGAAGTTTATCTTCACAATGTACACATTTAGTGAATTGCCAGCAGATACACTTTCTCTAAATGAAGTAAATGAAGTTAAAGTGAAAGACCAACCCTGCCCCCAACACACACAAAAGATATATACTGCAAAATATGTTTATGAATATAAAATAAAAACAGCGACATAGTCCTGGAAGAACATACGGCTTCCTAGATCCTAGACGTCTTGAAGGACTCAACAGTTGGCATACGTATCGTCAACCTGCAACAAATATGAAGAACATTTTAATTAAATATACAGTCTCAAAGTGGTTCTCCGTGGCTCCCTAATGTGTTTAAAAAAAGGTGAAGATGGTTTAAAATCCTGTGATGGAATTATTGGTTGGTGTTTTTCCCCAATGGTTAGATGAGATAACTAGGCTAACTATTCTCCAAATATAAGAAGCATGGCGTTACACGATACTAACCAAAAGCCTATCAGAGTGAGGAGGTCTCCGGTTGCTAGACAAAAAAATGAAGCAAATAATTAATTAACTAAATGAACCAAAATGGAAGGTTATTTAAAATAGTTAGTGTTGTTTGAACTCACGTCTTTGGAGATGGACAGCGTTGTTTGTGGTTCCAGCTCACATAGTCGCTGTTGTTTCTGTTGGAGGAGGGAATCGCACAAATTAGGTTTTGTTCATGCTTACTAATAAAACTGTGAGATGTGTTAGAGAATATTACACACTTACGAATAGCCAACACTGAGGTTCGCCTTGTTGCCTTGGTTTCTGCAAGGGTAATACATTATATATATGAATTCATGTTTACATTTGTTTTAAAGCATGGAAATGTAAACATTCTCCCCTTATGGGATGAAAAGTGAAATTTCACTCTTGGGCGTTCTTACTGGGAACATCTTCTCCAAATGGACCCCCTGTATTGAGAGAAAAAGTGTTACTTCCTGTCAGCATTGGTTTACTCTCTTTGTCAGTTTAGACACAAACCGGCTGACATACCGTTTTTCCGGCCTGGGAGGTCTCTCCCTGTTCTCACGGTTTCTCCTGGACATTTGTTTAGAAAAGACAAAAAAAAGCTCATCAGTGTAAGAGAATATTTTCATCTGATCTGTTTATAGAGTCTTTTATGGTTCCTTAGAGTCTGTGATACTGCAAACATCTGCTTGAAGTCACTCAAAGACTCCTCTGTAGGTTGAGGTCACAGGTCAAACGCTTCTCCTATGTCCGTGGGGGGTTTGAGACCTGGCAGGATCTCTTTGAGACAAGCAGACCATTGTCTCGCATCGGCTATTGATTATACGCGGGCTTTCTGGAAGCCCGCCTCTCCTCGTGTTGGTTAGATGTTTTTGTGTCTTTTGGTTCAGAGATCGCTGGTGGAGCACTGGACATGTGTGAAACTAAGATGATCTCCCGGCCGTTATTGTCTGTACTTTCTCCAATAAAACTCTTCAGTGCTTTTGGCTAACAACGGTTCCAGACTCCTTCATTCTACCTCAACATTGCAACAACAGAAGTTTACCTTCACATTTTGGCGTCTATCGAACAGGATACCGAGATTTATTCAGAAGGCTGGTAAGTGCTTTTTTTCAAATCTATTTGAACAACTGCCTTACCAGACTCTGTGATTGACGGTATCAAAATTATCTGTGAAACTGCGCGAGTGCAATTTGTTTTGGTCTCTCCACTATGTACATCTGAAGGCTTAATCATAACCTGAGGAATCGGTGTCAAAAGGGGATTTTATCTTGGCCGGTTCTTCCTGTGAATGCTGCTGGGGCAAGTGCCAACAAAAGCAAGCACAGCTCATGTATAAACAATAAGAATATTTGGGGCTAATAAATAACCTCGGAACATCGACTTTTAACGATTTCCGCTGTTTGTGGTTTCTAGAATTAAATTACTGGACAATCACACACTGCAAATATTCGGAGAGACCTTAAGGAAAGCATCAGCAAGGTGGAACCTCTGTTTTAAAAAAAAAGAAGCAATGTGAGGATTTGTAATTGAAACAAATTGCCGAATTCTGGAGATTTCAACGGGTTTAAATCAGACCTATCCGTTTTCGGGTGTCTGCTCAGGCTGCACGAGGGAGGGCGAATTCCCCTCCCCCCCTGTGGTGAGCGGCACACGAGTAATATTTAAGAACACAGACTTGTATTTTCTGTTAATCACACCATAAGCTCAAGAACTAAATTGAGCTATTAAATGGGAAGGGTCGTGGCAGAATATTACGTTCACACTGTGTTTAATAAACTAACGGATTATTGAATTGGCTGTTGTTTTAAAAAAAAAAAAGCAAAAAAAAAAAAGCACTGAATTAATTAAAACAATCGCTGCTCTCGGTCGGTTGAGCAGTTTTACCACTACATTTGCATAGTGGTTTTGATTGAGAATAAGGTAGTTTATTGCTCATCAACAGATTGAATATGGCTGAGAAGAGCCCATATTAAACAGATATTTCAGTGCTCCCGTTGACGTTTTCCGTAATTCTCGGACTAAATTAAACTGGATGATTTTTTGGCCAGGGCACTGATTTTGTTGCGAGTACATGTTTGTTTGTCTAATTGCAGTGTTTGTTTTTATTGTACTAACCGTTAAACATGGGTAATACTGCCTCCACAAACGATTCAGTTGGTAAGAGGAAAGCCATTTCACGCACAAAGACACTTAAAAAAAACCCGATTGCAGAAAACCACTACACGCATTTGTTTTCTCCAAACATGCCGTCTGGAATTGTCGGAAGAACTTTGGATTGGTCTAAAGTTATGCCGTTTACATCGTTACTTTGCGAACACTCACAACAGATTAATCAGAAAGGATTGATTCGATTTGATTGGCCTCTGACAAGTAGTTTTGATATGGCCGTGTTGTGGCAAGCATTTAAACTGGTGGAAGATAATTCAAATTGTTCATGGGATCAAGGATACATGACAGAATGTGTGAAAGCCTGGATGACTTTGGCAGAAAAGCGGGGTTATGAAGAAAGGAAAAATGCAAAATCTGTTGGCAGCGAGCGAGGCTCCATTGAGCTCAAGGCGCTTATTGATAAAGTTTCTCAATGTGCAAAAAGTTTTCATTTGCTTAGCCTAGAGGCTGCTTTTGATGTGAGATCAGAAAACATGTCCAGATTCAGGGAAAGATACGGTGAGAATGTTCCAGACATTGCAAAATCCATAATTTATGATTGGATTAAAAGACAAGGTAAAACTCCAACCCCATCTCAGCTCATTTGTATTTTGACAGACGCAGGGCTGTTGGACGGAGAGCAGGCTGTATCTCTCTGTACGAAAATAATTCCCGCGACAGAACTCTCAAATCCCGTTGCGAGAAACTCCGATGATGATCTGTTAATAACAGCTGCAGCTATCATGAATGAAAATAAGTTGAGATATCAGATAGAACAACATAGGAAATTAGAATCGGCACAAGCCGAGCAGAGGGCAGCAGCGGGGGAGGGGAATGTTTCACATGGCAGTCCGCGATTGACCCCCACTCCTCGCACTCAGCCACTCATTTTACAAGATTACCCAGGTTCGCCGTACGGCAGCAGTTTTCCAAATAATGTCCAGCGTAAAATGTACACGACAAAGCAAACATCTCAGGATAATAATTCTGAAGAAAGTGTGACCGCCCCGAAAATTCTGATAGGAGATGTTCCAGTTTGCAAACCCTGGACACCCGCTGAGGTCATTGATGTCACTAACCACGCTCCCAGTCCCACTAAAAGTCCAGATGAGTATCTGTCATGGTTGACTAATATTTGTTCAGTTTATAACTGTTTGGTTCATGATGTTAAACAGCTGATAATCTTAACATACAAGGCAGATTGGCCCACGTGCAGAGACGAGTTTAAATTTCCTGAGTGTACAGCCGCAGGGGACTGGCCCACGACACAGACGCGAGACATGTGGATACAAAACGTCGCCGCATTGGCTATCAGAGCATGCGCTAAAACTCACACAGATTTCTCACAAGTGACGGCATGTGTACAAGACCCAGCGGAAAATGTCCCAGAATGTATCCAGCGTTTCATGACAGTGTGGGATAATAATGCGGGAATTAAAAGAGACGGTAATGATTTGTTTGCCATACAGACCTTGTTACATAATTTAATCCCAGAAACGGCTCAGGCCTACATGATGTCGACTCCCGAATGGCAAATTAAATCTTGGAAAGCGACTATCGCCACAATGCGTGCGTTGCATAGGAGCCAAATATTTCTTACTCCCAGAATTTCACAACTGCTTCAACAATTGCCTCAAAACACCCAGGCTTATCAAACGCAGGGACAAAACCACACACAGCAGTATCAAAATCAGGGGAGATCACAGGATTATCATAATAAGAGCAGACAGCAGCAGAACAAAAATCCCAAAAAGTTGATGCCATGTCATGTTTGCGGAGAAACCGATCACTGGGCAGGACAATGTGGTAAGCGGTGGGGGGTCCAGCAGCACACACAGCCCCCCCTCACCCAGCCCCCCTTCTCCCAGCCCGCACTTCCCCCCAACCTTCCCCAGCAGTCCGGACATCTGGCATTAATGCAGTCTCCACGTTATGACAGACAGAACCAGGGGCAGAACGCTCAACAAAGTGGATTTAATAGAAGATAGTGGTGCCAAGAAGATATAGGGTCAGAATCACAGCATTTAGCCATTCAAGCAACAACAATTCGCCTTTCCAATAACCCGCGTGAAGATCCAATTATGCCCGTTGATTTTAGTGGTACGGCTGTAGATATTTTGATTGACAGCGGAGCCACCTTGTCTGCCGTGCGTACTAAGGAGAAAGTGTGTGAAGCAACCAATAAATTTGTCACAACCATCGGTGTTGCTGGAATTTCTATGTCCGAACCCATTTCAGAGAACACTAATGTTTCAATTAATGGATCAAACGTGGAACACTCTTTCATTATTTCAGATGGAAGTCCTATTAATTTAATGGGCAGGGACTTACTATGTAAATTACAGGCAACAATACATTGCACTTCAGACGGATTGTTTTTGACAATTCCTGACAGTAAGGTCTATCAGGCAGTCCAATTCATTCAATCATCGCGAGACAACCTGTATTGTTGGTCATTTCCAGATTTCAATATGATTTCTGTTTTCTCCACAACAGGGATTCAGAAGATTGCTAGCATTTCTCCGGGTTTGTGCGTCTTTAATGTCTCTTATGCGACCTGTGTTGAATTGTCATTGCACAGCAGCCTTTAATCCGTCAGATGACTACGCGCAATCAGTAAGAGGTTTTTGCAACAAATCAGATCGGTTGACAAGTGAACAATATTTGTTCATTTCCCGACAAGGATGTGTTTTACCCATCAGACTCACAACACCCCAGCAGGTTCTCCAAGTTGAAGAAAGCCTCCCCTACATAACGGTGGCTGTTACGCCAGGCAGTAACCCAAAAGAGGTGGGGGCCATGGCAGCCCGCTGCCAAGCCCAGCTGGAAGCCTCATTTTCCCCTTTTTCACACACACACACACACACCTAACGTAATTAACTTTGGAGGGGAGCATTTCCTGCTGCGTCTCGCGGAGCCAATTGCTCTTCCACAATGCACTTTCCTTCATTTACAACCAAACCCCCCCACAGAGTATGGCCCCCCCTCAGATTTTTCAGAAGTACCGGCTGCATTATGGGCAAAACACAAGAACCATGTTGGTTTTGTTGCCTCAGCGCCTCCACATCGAGTAACACTTAAAGCCAATGCCAGATTGCCAGCTATCAGACAGTACAATTTGCCCCATAGAGCCATTTTGGGGATTGAAGGAGTCATCCAATCTTTGCTTGATCAGGGCGTGTTAATTTACACAACTAGTCCCTGTAATACTCCAATTCTACCCATACCTAAACACAATCGCCCTGATGAGTGGCGCTTTGTCCAAGATTTTCAAGCTATTAATGCTATTGTCATTCCGACAGCTCCAATTGTGCCGGACACCAATTCGATTTTAGCTTCTCTGCCCCCGGACTCTAAGTACTACACAGTGATTGATTTATGTTCAGCATTTTTCTCTGTTCCTCTGCATCCAGACAGCC